ATCAGCGCAGGCGGCAGAACTAGAGGCTCTCTGCGCCGCCTTGGAGTTTGCTAAAGGTAAATCTGTAAATATTTACTCCGACTCTGCGTATGCTACTCAGGCTGTCCATTTCAACCTCTCCGAGTGGAAAAGAAACGGCTTCTTGACTGCTAAAGGCCGACCCATCACACATAGAGCCCTGGTGGAGAGGCTGGACAGCGCTCTCCAGCTTCCAAAACAGGTAAGCGTCATCAAGTGCCAAGGGCACTCCAAGTCAGACAACTTTGAGGCCAGGGGAAACGAGGCGGCGGATGAGGCCGCAAAGAAAGCTGCCAACTACAAGGTCAGTACTCCAGGAGTGTTTGTGGTTCGGGACGAGGGGCCAGACCTGGCAGACTGCCTGCCCGATCTGTCCCTTCAGGTTTTAGCTGAGGCCCAAACAAAAGCAGCTCCTGAAGAAATATCCATGTGGGTTCAAAAACGGGCAAAGAAGGATCCAGATACTGGCATCTGGTACGGCCCTGATGGCCGCCCCGCCCTGCCCATGGGGGACCTCTCACGAGCGGCTTTATCTGAGGCACATGGGCTAGCCCATGTGGGTCAGGTACAGATGCTCAGGAATATGTCACAATGGTGGCATCCCTTTAAGACAAGCATGATCCAAGATTATACTAGGTCCTGTCAAATATGTCAAAATTATAACCCATCGCCCTGCTCAGCTGTTTCCCCAGGAAAATTCACACCTGCTGCTTGGCCTGGAGCACATGTTGTGATGGACTTCACAGATATGATCAACAGGTGCGCAGGAAAGCGGTACCTGTTGGTCATCACTGACACCTTTACGGGATGGCCTGAGGCATATCCTGCTGCAAAAGAGGATGCTGCCTCCGTAATCAAAGCCTTAATTCAGCATTACATCCCGACGCATGGCTTTCCCCAGTTAATAAGGTCTGACAATGGGACGCATTTCAGGAACAAACACTTGCAATTGGTAGAAAAACATCTGGGGCTAAAACATAAATTTGGAACGGTCTACCATCCTCAATCCCAGGGCCGAGTTGAAAGGATGAATCAGACCTTGAAAAGTAAACTCTCTAAAATCCTGGCAACGAGTAAATTGAATTGGCTACAGGCATTGCCTATTGCCCTGTTGTCAGCAAGGCACTCTGTTAACCGCATTCACCATTTCTCCCCATACGAGCTGTTAACAGGGAGGCCTATGCCAGGACCAGGAAACAGGGTGGTGCCTTTCACAAAAGACGACTCCCCAACACCCCCAGTGCGGGTGTACTGGGAACAATTGAGAGAAATGTTGTCTAGTTTTTCCCATCAGGTTGAAGGAAGTCTCGACCTCTGCGAGAAGGAGGCCTCGGAGGATCCACCAGCCTGGGTCCGTGTGAAGGTGTTCAAAAGGAAGTGGAACGAGCCCCGCTGGACCGGACCCTTTGAAGTGGTGGCCCGCACTCGCAAAGCTGTTCAACTGAAGGGACACGGGAACAAGTGGTTTCATCTCTCTCATACGAGACCATCTGACCCACCCTCGTAACCACGCTCACGGGTTGGACAGGGACTCACACACACGCTTACACTCGCTCTTAATATGTTGCCTTGGGACAGGGAGCCCTGGCCCCACGACCAAAAGAGGGAGAGCCATCCTATGGGCTATCGCTGCAGTTGGTTTGGTCGTGGTCCTGGGAATTTTAACATGGGAAATGTTAGAAAACACACAGCTAAGAGACAGGGCCAGACTTGTAACACAATCCAGTCTTTGGTCCAATAAGACTGACAGAAATAAAAGATCCATAGGAGAAGGCAGCGTTAGAGACTCTCTACCTACGATTGTGACAGTAAAATGCCCGGTGGGTGCGACAATTACAGCCCACATACCAATGGCAACAATCTTTCCATTATCCTTTCGACCTGACTACACACTCTACCTGTGTTACACACCGTCAACATGTAAATATGAGAGACATGGAAAAAGCTTTAGAGCATCGGTGGACTGCACCTGTGATGCTTGGGAGTATGTTATATCCAATACAGGTCCTGATTGGGGTTATAATAATGAACACAGATTGAAGGGACGAGTGATTCTGACTACAGACCACTCACAAACAACGGTGCTAGTCACTGTGAAAAATTGTGGGATTGATGTGAATGGGACTTACGTTATTGGACATTATCCAGGAGACATTAGACAATGGATTTCAATTGCCCTACCCGAGGACAAGGAGCTAGACAAGGAGGCCATAGATAGTGAAGTATGGCAAGACAAACAAAACGTACAGGTGACTGCTGACTGGACTGTTTCTGAATTGTTAAAACAAGCAACTGGATATGGGGATAGAAACGCTTGGTTGTGGACAGTGGAGCACATGTCAGCGGCTGCTGGCTTTGACGATTGTGTTGTGTGTTCCACTGCACGTCCCACTTTGTATACAGCCCCTGCTCCACTTTTCCCAGAAGATGTAGATGGTTATAATTGTATGATAAAGTTGTTTTGGCAAGAAAAGGACCTGACTGAGGAGACAAAGACAGTCCCTAGCAACTGTTCAATGTTTGAAGTATTGTTTCCAGAATTGGATTCAGAAATTCAGCCCCCTATGTTTTCCCACAGGAAAAGCAATTACACCTGTTTCCACTCACTCAATGGAGGGACGAGGCCGCGTCTCCAGTGGGGGTTCCTTCCAGCAGACTGGTGTGTCAACAACGTCACCCTGCCCAGTCCGGTCCCCATGACCCGGACCAGAGGTGATTTGTATTGGTTGTGTGGAGATTTAAAACTTAGACATAGACTAATAAAAAATTTTACAGGCAGTTGTGCAATGGTGCGATTAATGATGCCCATTTCCATAATTGGCCATAAGCCATCCCTAGACAGTCCCCACCCACTGCATAGATTTAAAAGAGCAATCCCATTCCAGATACTGGGAAAGATAATCCAACTTACATGGACTCTATAGGTGTTCCACGTGGAGTCCCTCATGAATTCAAACTGGTAGATCAAATTGCAACAGGTTTCGAAAATATTCCAATAATTTCCGCTATTTTCCCTATCACGCCAAACAAAAATGTAGATAGAATTAATTTCATTTGGTATACTATGCTTAGGCTTGCCAATCACACCAGGGACGCAATAGAGGGATTGGCGGAGCAGCTGGGGGCCACCTCTCTGGTAGCATTTCAAAACAGAGTGGCTCTAGACATGCTCTTAGCAGAGAGAGGGGGGGTCTGCAGTTTATTTGGTACAGAATGTTGTGTATACATTCCAAATAACACACATCCAGATGGATCAGTTTCCAGGGCTCTGGCTGGTCTCAAAATGCTGTCAGAGCAAATGCATGACGTTTCTGGAGTCCCGGAGAACCCACTGGAGGCGTGGCTGGACAGCATCTTGGGGAAGTGGAAGCATGTAATTTTGTCTGTTATCACAAGCCTTGCGGCCATCTTTGCAATAATAATGGTTGTAGGATGTTGCTGTATACCTTGTATACGTTCTCTTTGTGTTAAAGCTATAGACACCGCTGTTAACCCTGGACTGAGAGGTCAAATGCTTGCATTGGTTGAGGATTCCCCCGTCCCGTCGCCTGAGGAAGGTTATTGAAATGTGTGGCCTTTTTTAATAGCGGCCAAAAGAGGGAATGTTGTATTTATAAATAAGAGACATTCTAAAACCATGTGTATTATGATCTATCGACCTCTGAGTGGCAGGCCAGTCCTTTTAAGTTAATTTTAGGGGTCTTCTTGGGGGACCAGCTAAAGTAACAGATGGGTTCTTCTGTTTGGATTTTGTCTGCCTAGCCTTGGCCCATGCTGACTTTTGCATTATTGAACCCACTCCATCAGGAGTGGGTTGACACTGGAGTCTGCCAGTCTACGCACTACTTGTTTAGACAACAGAGATGGATCTCAGACCAAGAGACAGCTGGCCGGAGACACTAGGTTAGAAAAGCATGGATTCTTTTTTAGGTGCAGACGGGAGAAGACCAGATGGTGGAAGGCGGATCACGGGACCCCGGAAGCTGGCTGATACCACGCCCCTTCTTCTTGCACATTTTACATATAGTAGATAGTTTGAATGTGTGGTTAGTTAGTTTTTTGGCGGACCAGGGACAGTGTGTGATTTTGGTGTGGAGCGCCCACCCAAGTCATACTTTTATATTTTATATAGAGAATAAGGGATAGTTACTTTTGGTCCGAACAGCTGTTTTAGATTCTTTTTGTATTAGGGAAATAAACCTTTTTGGATTTAACTTTCTGAATCATGGTCATCTTTATAAGGGATTTTGAACACGTCATTTTTTAATACGATAAATGGTCCGAGATGGGAAAATATCAGACCGCAAATCAGCCAATCAGAGCGCGCGAACAATCCAAGTCATATAATAATAGGTGTTATTTACTTTCCTTACTTCCTTTGTTTAGTGTAACATCTGCTGAACCTTTGTGCTTAGTTCAAAACATTCTGGACAATGTGAAACTCTTATCAAATAAAATAAATAATTAAATAATCTCTTGTTGTTTGCTTTGGCTCATGTCAGTCCACATCTGCTGCATTCAGCCTCTTTCCACTTGCTTCGGTCAGCTTTTTAACATTACAATTGCTACTGTTGCAACTAAATGATTGATACGCAAACTCCCCAAAGACGTCTCATTCCAAGCATAGTCTGGCTTGTGAAAAAATATGTGCTCATGAAACTTTCAGAACCGACAGGACACGACTCTCAGAATCAGGACAGTCCTGGGTGATAGTGACATAAATGCGGTGTGTGAGTGATACACTGAAAACAAGCTAATGCTTTCCTTATCTTTGGTCCATTCCATTTCCATCCAAACATAATGTATTTTGTTCAGAAAACGCTAAGATAATTAGTCAAAATACCTCCAGAATGTAAGGAAAAATAGAGACAGATGACAAAGATAAGTTGTAAACAAAGACAATTATAAAAAGGTTCAGCCTAAAATATTTCATCCCCTGACCAGAACAAGGTAAGTCCAGGTCAAGAAAGTGGACTACATACCTCTCTCCACTCTTTGTTCCCCATTCCTTGTGTGTAGAGGACACATACTGCAACAAACACAAACAAAAATACACAAGTTTAGATTAAGACTCTAAAGTAGGACACAAGGTACGTATATCTGCTGTATACAGAAATCCATTTACTTGAAATGTGAAACTAATACATGACAGACTCATAGCACAGAAAGCAGGGCTGCACGATATATCAAAAAAGGTATTGTCATCGTGATATTGGTACGTACGATATCCATATTGAAAAGATTTGCATAATTTTGATATATTTAAGTATGCATTTCTAGTACGCGCATTGTGATGAATCTGCTGTGACAAATCTACGACCTAGTGCCGCCACACGCTAGAGTGGGGGAGAAGAGACAAATGCAGACGAGGGCAGAGAGGAATATGTACCCAAAAGAGGCTTTCCCTCCGTATTTTGGACTACTTTTGAGACCAATCACAGAAACAAGTTATTTGAAAGTCATGCTGAAAAATAGTTGCTATGTCAAAGGGGAACAGAGCCACCTCCAGCTCAACCACAAGGTAATTTATCCTGTGTATTTACAAGAAGTAAGTAAGTAAGTAAGTAAGTAAAGTTTATTTGTATAAACCAGGATCACAAAGCGCTTCACACATTAAAACACATAAAATACACATACAGTACAAGTCAGATTTACACAGTTCACAGACACCTATGAACACTGAGGCGAGAAAACCTGTCTAAACAAATGCGTCTTAAGTTGGGACTTAAAATCATCGACAGTCTTTAAGATGCGCAGAGACTGAGGAAGCCCATTCCAAAGGTGAGGAGCAACTGCCTGAAAGGATCTGTCTCCTCTGGTTTTAAAGTTAGTGCGGGGGTCCATCAACAGGTTCTGAGTGGAAGACCTCAGGCTCCGGTTGGAGACATAGGGGTGGATCAGGCCTGACCATGAAGAGCCCTGAATGTCAACACTAGAATGTTTTAATTGATTCTGTGTGAGACAGGGAGCCAGTGTAAGGACTTCAAGATAGGAGTAATGTGGGCTCTCCTGTGGGTGCGGGAATTTTGAACAACTTGTAAACGAGCCAGGTCTTTCTTACTAATACATGTAAGCAGGCTGTTACAGTAGTCCAATCGCGAGGAAACAAAAGCGTGGACAATCATCTCCAGCTCCTCACCCGAGACCATGTGTCTGAGCTTGGAGATGTTGCGCAGGTGGAAGTTACAGTTTCGGATCAGCTGTTTGGTGTGTTGTTCTAGGGACATCCCTTCATCAAAAGTGACTCCAAGGTTCCTCAGACTCTTTTTCACTGAGCTACTTAGGTAGGGTGGCATTAGGTAGGTAGGAGTAATGAGAGGCACAAAACTGTCCGGGGCTACAACTAAGGTTTCTGTTTTACCAGAGTTCAGCTGGAGGCTATTGTCACTAAGCCATATCTTTATTCTGTCAAGGCAGTTAGTGAGAGCAACCAGTCTCTTGGGTTCAGAGGGGTTAAAAGAGCAGTACAGCTGGAGATTGTCAGCATACAGGTGGTAGGAGGCCTCACTGAACTGCTCGATCAGCTTGCCTAGAGGGAGCAGGTACATCATAAATAAAATAGGCCCAAGAAGGGAGCCTTGGGGTACACCCCATTTTAGGTCTGCGGATTCAGACACCACGTTGTTTGAGGATACACAAAAGGTTCTATCTGTAAGGTATGATTTAAACCACTCTAACACAGAGCCTGACATACCAACCACATCCCATAGTCTAGAGACCAAGATGCCATGGTCCACCGTGTCGAAGGCAGACGACAGGTCTAACAGGACCAGGACGGAACATTTACCGGAGTCGGCAGCCATCATGATGTCATAGACACTTTCAGTAAAGCTGTTTCAGTGGAGTGGAACTTCCTGAAACCAGACTGAAAGGAGTCAAAAATATTGTTAGCCTCCAAGGACGCAGTAAATTGATTATAGGCTAGCTTCTCCAGAACTTTGGCCAAGAGTGGGATCTTTGATATGGGCCTAAAGTTTTGAAGATCTGTTGGGTCCAGGCTGGGTTTCTTTAATTGGGGCTCCATAACAGCATGTTCAAGAGAACACGGGAACACACCAGTTGAGAGCGACATGTTAAATATTTTAGTAATCGACGGACCGATTACTTGAAGGATGACCAGCTCTGAGGAGGAGTGTCAATGTGAGCTTGATTGGAGGAAGGAGAGGAAGGAAGATTGTCTTTAATCTCTCTAACCTTGTCAATAAAGAAGTTCAGAAACTCAGTACAACTTGCTCTGCACTGCACAGCAACAGCAGCAGCAGCAGGAGAGACAATAGAATTGATAGTGTCGAAGAGCACCTTGGGGTTTCTCTTATTGGAGACAATCAACTGATGAAAATATTTTGATCTGGCCTCATCTAATTGATTGTTTAGAGAGGCGAGAAGGTCCCTCAGATGCAGTCTGTGAACCTCAAGTTTGATGGAATGCCACAAGGAGGATCTCCGCAGATTCACAACAGTGTCATTAATCCAGGGACAAGTCTGTTGATGCTCCAGATTATTACTTTTAAAAGGAGCTACTTGATCCAAGATGGATGTACAGTGACTATTAAAAGAGCACATGAGCTCATCCATTTCGGTGCAGTCATGTACAACAGAGGAATCAAAGCTTTCACAGAACCTTTCTGCAGTAGATTACGTAATAATCCTCCTCTCTACTTTAGCAGGTAGGGGGCGAGGGTCTGAGGATCCCAGCAGATCAAAAAACACACCGTAATGGTCACTTAGGTGCACATCCTCAACACTCACATTGGCCACCTGCAGGCCCAGTGTAAAGACCAGATCTAATGTGTGGCCAATCTAAAACTCCACAGCCTATCGCCATTCAAACAAAAAGCAAATGTGCAAACGAAGCTTTAACTGCAGCCATTACGTGATATAGCTAAATGCACACTCTCCGTTACTGTGTGTATGGAATTGGCAACTTGAGGCAAGATTTGAGGTTAATAAGTGTGCCATACTGCTTTTGAATAAAGCAGTAATGAAGAGATTTTTTTCTTGCGGCTCTATGCAGATTGTTTTTTTAAGGTAAAAGAAAATAATATTGTAATAATCGTTATCAATATTATTGCTAATATTGTGCAGCCCTAACAGAAAGTGAGATTTATCAGACCTTTAATTGTTATACTTTTGATTATTGGCTCACAGAATAAAATTGAAAATGGACTGAATACTAATCAAGGCTTGCCAGATGTCACTTTACATATAATAGGTCAATATCATAATAGTTTGTGTAAGCCCTCAGTCGTACAGGGATTAGTCAAAGCAAAGGAAGGTTTCTCACCCATCATCTGTACTTCTTAGCAAGTTTTCCAGACTTTTCGTCCTCAACCTGGGGACTTCTTCAGGGAATGAATTCTCGGACCGCGCGTTGGAGATTAAAGCCTAGCGTACATCGGACTGGCAACTGATTATATCCGTCGCCTCTGAGTTGCTGCCCCGCACACATCGACAATCTGACGAAAACGGGCAACTCTGAGTCGCAGGCCAGTCTCTTGAATAACAGCGCGTACATCGACAGCAACTGGCCTCAACTACAGTGTGTTTTCTGACAACAAACTGTTGCGGGCTCGCAATACACGCAATACACACACGTTGTCGGAGCGGCGCATGGAGCGCGCACATCGGAGCAACTGAGGACAACTAGTTGCCGAAAAGTAGAACACGGGCAACTGACTGGAACTGGAGACCGACTGATCATCTCCAGTTGTAAGAGCGCGCACATCGACCGATTTCGGCAACTGATCATCTCCCACCATCTCCTTTCAGTTGCCAAAAGCCGCCTTGCAACTAGTTGTCCCCAGTTTCTCTGTCGATGTACGCTAGGCATTATAACCTATGGGTGTGGTAAGCCACACCCTAATCCTGATACTAACTCGTAAACAATCTCAGGTCTGCTTGATGTAGAAGGGAGCAGGTCTAACGACCCTGCTGAGGCTAACGACCCTAACTCCTTAGCATGTCACAGACCTATTGTCTGCTGGGATGCTCAAGTGGAGTGCAGGTCTCACCCCTCCTAACTCATTAGCATGTCACTGACCTTGTCCCAAGTTAGGGCGTTGTTTTTAGGATGTCGTCATAGATGCGAGGCAAAACAAATCTTAACCCTCCTCCTCTGTTAAGAGAAGGTTTTTGTTTCCTCACAAAAATGGCTTCTTTCACTCCTCTCTCAAACCAATTCTTCTCCCGAGCCAGAATTTTAACCTCTGTGTCATCCACCGTGTGGTTGGAGGCCTTGAGGTGGAGATGAACAGCCGACTGTGGCCCACTAGAGTTTTCTCTACGATGTTGGTAAAGTCGTTTCTGTAGAGTTTGTTTGGTTTCTCCAATATAGTGGTCAGTGCACTCCTCTTCACTACATTTAATTAGGAGGGGTGGGGGGATGAGTTAGGAGGGGTGAGACCTGCACTCCACTTGAGCATCCCAGCAGACAATAGGTCTGTGACATGCTAAGGAGTTAGGGTCGTTAGCCTCAGCAGGGTCGTTAGACCTGCTCCCTTCTACATCAAGCAGACCTGAGATTGTTTACGAGTTAGTATCAGGATTAGGGTGTGGCTTACCACACCCATAGGTTATAAATCTCCAACGCGCGGTCCGAGAATTCATTCCCTGAAGAACTCCCCAGGTTGAGGACGAAACGTCGGGAAAACTTGCTAAGAAGTACAGATGATGGGTGAGAAACCTTCCTTTGCTTTTATCATAATAGTTTCACATTTTTAAACTTTGAAACACTTTCTGAGCTCTGTGCAGTGATGTTCACACACAAGGTGTTAGACATCTCTGTAGTAAAGTGCAGCACACTTTACAAAACAACAGCAGTATTTATCCATCCATCCATTTTCTTCCCCTTTATCCCTTTATGGGTCGGGGGGTAATTGTTCCAGCACCACACAGTATTTATGTTTTTTTTGTCAATAGTTGTCATATTTTTAGGGATGCTTGAGCACCGGGCCAGGTGCCACAGTGATTGCTTTAAACTGTGGTTGTGTCCTGAGGCCTGGTTGTGTCATCCACATGGTGACACTTCATGGTGAAGTATCACCATGTGGATCAGACCACACGGTCTGAGCAGCTGATGGCACAGTCTAGTAGCCTTGCTTCTGTCAGTCTGCCCCAGGGTTGTTACACAATACAATACAATTTATTCTTGTATAGCCCTAGGTCACAACAGAAGTCATCTCAGAGGACTTAACAAAACCATTGAAATCACCAACACAGGTCAGAGAATCAACAGTTAAAACACATGAAGAATATAAAGCACACACAGAAGAAAATGTCCATACATGTTGTAGAATGCTAAAGTGTCCTGATCATCACCAATCCTTTCTGTTGGACACTAACTGTCCAACAAGACCCTCCTGCATCGACAAGGAAAAACTCTTAAAAAACCCAGTGGGAAAAAGTGAGAAACCTTGGAGGAGAACAAGGGAAACCCACAGGGAGGGAGACCCATATGAGAAAGGGATCCGCTCCTCCGGACGGACAGGCTAATGATCTAGGACCTAAGCTAGCTACAGAACGTGGACCAGTGGACGCTGAACGTGGACAGGTCCGGTGCAGGACTGAAGCACTCCCAGGCACAGTGAGGGAATGAGTAATACTATGTGACGTGTCTTTGAGAAGAATGGTGCCATATAAAAGAAAGGCGACTACATTCAGTCACATCGAAGGCCTCGCTCCAACTCAGATCAAGTTGTGCAGATGTTTAGTTTAACTAGAGCAAACCGGCAGGAGCACAAAGACTGCATTTCACCGACTCAAAAAAGAAAATGGGAGAACTAATAAAGTCAAAATAAAGGGGTGGCTATGGTCAATGCCAGAGAATATTAATGACTACAGCAGAGAATAATATACAACAATATTGAATCCTTAAATGACGAGGGAAACCAACTACAACACGTGAAATAGTGTGAAGTCCATTTTGATGATATTTTTGCTTTAGCCTATACCAAAGACAAAGGCAGCCAAACCAAACAAATTATGCATTAAATTGAAGCATTATTAAAGGACAACAACAAAGAACACGATCCACAATTCAAGAATGTAATCCTCCTTTCATGCTTTTGTTGATGTTTCAAAACAAAAAAAAGGTGTTTAGTGCAGGCAGAAATGGCAAGACCAGTGTCTGTGTTTAAAACAAATATGAGAATACCTGGATTTGTGTGGGACGTGTTTATTCAATCAAATTAAATTAGATCACATTTAAACAATTTTATTTGAATAATAATTCATTTGATTTGGAGAATGTTTTAATAGAACAGCCTTGTGACAGCCAGAAATGTATTTGACTTGAAGAAGCTGCAGTAGGCCTGTCACGATATATCAACTCATCGTTCAATAACTGATTTGCAAAAATTGAGAGAAAATTGTAATAGTGCAGTTTATTTTGGATCCTCAGTTGCTTGACCCGAGGGTCAGATAGTCCTGGGGTCCTTTACATTTCCAATTAAAACGATAAATACAATATATTATTACTATAGAAATGTTATATATAGATGTATGTATAGGTATGACGCAGAGTTTGACAAATACGGTTAATCCACACAACTTTTTTCTTTGTCTCCTAAATCTTTAACAATGCTTGGACGTATGGCTTTGCAGGTAAATATGACATCCCTAAAAGACAAGGGAAGGGAGCCAAAACAAAAAAAATTAAGTTGACTAAATATGACCGAATTGATTTCACAGAATCAAGATCGGTATGGAACATAAAAATGCTGGATTGCAAAAAGCACAAAAATCCATAAAAGTTTAATTTCTATTGTGTTATCACTGGCAATATAGTCAGTTGTGCATACATATCTGAAGTTAACGTGTTTCCATGGTGTTTCAGTTGGTACCTCTTGGTCTCTCTCAGGTCTGAGGTGTATTTTTAAACAGCAGGTGACACATGTGTGGAATCTCAGCTCCCTCCTCTGCTCTCTCCTCTGCTCTCTCCTCTGCTCTCTCCCCTCTGAACCTCTCTCTGCTGTCACACTGTTTCATGTCAGGGCTCTGAATGCTCCACACTCAGCATAATCAAAGAGATGCACCGCAAAAGACAGCCTCAACACAAGCTCTTCGTCCTGCATCATCATCTTCACACACAATCATCAGGGAAACATAAGTGACGTTATGTGGGCTGTGGGTCCAAATGTCCGCTACAAAGAGAGAAGATTGAAGAGCTGCCTTAAGTGGTCACAACACGACTGTTTTTACAATAAACGCTATAAAAGATTGAATGTCAAGTCTGATTTTTTCAATATACAGTAGCTCTGACCAGTTTTCTTCAGCAGGGAAAGGGGAGAATGTCAGAGTGGAATAGAAGGTGGATGGATCGAAACACAATCTTGGGGCAATCTTGAAGAAAAACTATTGGAGTCGACAGAAGACTGAGGTGGAGATTTACCTTTCATTGGGACAATTTCTCTAAACCAAAAGCCGATATAAAAAATATGGTATAAAAAATATTGGCAAAGGGTTAGAGACATGTAATTGTCTGTCACTTTTTGTTTTGTTTTTCACAAAAAACTAAAAATAATCGTAATAATAATAACAGTAATATCTGAGACAAAACGAGACGAATTAGACTAGGATAGGGTAACCACGATTTTACATTTTTGAGTCACAATTATTGTGAGAGAAAATTTTACGATTTTACGATTATTCACAATTATTTCTGAACATTTGGACCACTTTTTGGAAAATGATGTAGGCTTTTATAATTGTGATTATCGTAAAACCGATTAATCTTGGCAACACTAGACTAGGATTATGTCTTTAAGGCAGTATATAAAATATATGATATTTTTAATACATCCATAACCTTGAATAATCCAAACATAAAAAGGATTATTTGAGTATATTGAGTAATTGCGTATGTGCACTGGTGATACTTACCCTTGGTCTGAGCGTGTGGAGAAACTACGGCTGCCATCATAGCGGTCGAACTCAGCAACAAGCTTCCCTCTTTCTGACTAGAGCTGTAGGCGGTAACCTTCTCTAAACATGGTTATGGTAATCGTTTTGATTAAAAACCTACGGGATTCTCTCCATTGAAAGACCATCTCCTTTGCACTTTTCTGTCTGAAAGAATCTGAAGCTTTGAAAAAAGTTTTGACAGCAATAAGATTGTTCCATTTATTTTATTGTAATTTTTAATAAAATTGTTTTGTTTTTGTGATTTTTCCCAGCACTATCATGTTGATTTGAGTATTGTTTTACCTCCTGATTTCACACACATTTACTCTTCCAATTGAGGTGGAGAATGCTTCTTTGGAATGACCAAACCAGCTTTCTGTCACAGAACAAAGCTCTAACAGAAAGGTAAACAGGAGAAGTAGTAGTTCTTACTTGGGTCTGATTTGGAGAATGTGTCTCTGTCCAGCAGGTTTCTGTGAACACAAAAGAAGATGTTTGGTCAGCACAGAAGTGGTCCAAAGTCCAACAACAGGTCATTAGGTGCACAAACTTTTATACAACCTTGTCTTCACCCTCTGCAGATGCATTATGTATCACTAAAAGTTCCAGGTTACATCAGCGAAGAAGCAACACCACTCAAGTTTCAATATTCTTAAGTGACCTGAATAACATTCACGATATGGAGGGAGTAGAGGAATAAGATACGCAAAAGCCAACAGCTCTGACTAGCTTTTCTGTCTTGTTGTTTGTGTTCCAGGTGAATTCATCATCATTACACCTCTCTCTCAGCCACAGATCTGCTCGTGTCTGCCAACACCTGTACAGTTTATATTTCTGAAATGCTTCAGGAAACCTACACACTTTAGAAAGCTATTAGAAAATAAGAAAATAATCTTGAGTGGAATCAGACGTCTCTGACTTATTTTCTAGTATTGTGGACAAACACAGGTTGAACATTTTCATTTCACAGGCAGTATTAGGTAAGTTACTTTAAAGGAGGTAACTGGGGTACTGAGAGAAACCACTCTGCTGAACCACGGGTCTGACTTCCCACTCAGTGCATCTGTGTTTACATGGAGGGAGGACAAAACCGGGTCGCACTTGTGGAGACAGAACCAAATTTGTTATGCATTTGTGAATACAAGCAGGAGCAGCAAAACACAAATCAAACAGTAAATCACTATTTATTCCAAACCGGCTTCAATTATACACATCACCAGCAATCAGCATTTAAAAGCCATCTTCAAACAAACAGGATTGGATTCTCTCTCATTGTGACTACTAAAGCGCAGCGCTGCTTTATGAAAGCGCCACCTTGGGAGGTCACTGGGGATGGGGGTACATTCAGACTGGGTTTCTTACAATACAGTTGATTCGTATGGAAGAATGGAGTCACTGAAATAAAGTTTTGACAATAGCTGTTTAATGCTGCAGGGTTTGATCAACACAACAAGGCATCCTGGCTATTCACTTGTAGCGGAAACTTATCTTAACTCTTTCACCGGATTCAGTGTTCAAGGGCAACAATACTGAACCTGTCATGTTGGTGGGAGTTTCACCCCTATGTGCAAGCACTGGTACTGCAGTGGAATGTGTGTTTCTCTGATTCTAATAATTGCTAAATGACATGTAATACATTACATTAAAATAATTGAAAAATTACCACTTTTCATGTGTCACTTGTTTGAAATCAGTATACGATACCTACAGAGCTGTCATGGAGTCTGAACTGGGACACATTGAAAATGACAAATCGCAAAGAGAGCTTCTTCTTATTGACACACCCTACAGAGCTTTGATAAATGAGATATTTTGCTGCTCAGTGGCCTGACAACACATCAGGATTCCTCCAGATGAGCTGGAGGAGGAATGCACGATAGGGAAGTCTTCTTTTACACACCAAACAAGTAAAGAAAATGAAAGGATGGATGGATGAATAATATACCAGCGCTAGCACCGTCATACTGAAGGACGGGGTCTGGGCAACAATGATTGTCCTGTTATTCCCCAGAGTCTCTGCATCTCTGCCAATGACACAACTGACATCTGTCAATCATCACAACAGGAAGAGAAAAGGGACATGAGAAGGTCCAAAACAGCCTAAATCATTGATGAGGATGAGACAATTATCCTATTGAGAGGCAAAAGCTTGAGCTTAGGTTAATATCTCTTGTTTGCCACAAAGGGAAATTGTTTATTATCGAACTTTCCTTTCCACTTGGACAGGAGCAATGGGTCACTGCAATCTCCATGGGCCTTTTCAACACCAAGACCTTCCTCGTTGCCATTTTCCTCCACCTCGCGCTTTACTTGCAGTGGTTGAGCTCGAAAAATGAAAACTCAGGGGAACTCAGATGAAAATCACTGCATTGGGAAATGGATTTCTACTTTGCGCACTTTTTCACCTTCCAGATGGCCAACCAGATTATTAAAAAGATTTTCAAAGAGTATAATTTCACACAATTCACCCATAATATAAAAGGGGAGCTAGAGAGTAACACAACTTTAACATGACATAACATATGTGCTTATTTGTATGTGCTTATATTTGGGCTGAGTGGACAGCACTCTCTCTTCTCAGCAAGAAGGTCCCGGGTTTGAATACCGGTCGGATTACTTACTTACACAATTTTTGGAGACCCATAGGACAAAACAATACTAATGCAGAGTATAAGACAAAGAGCCTGAGTTGTCTTTTAGAGAGATACATCTTATACTTTATGCCTAATTTTGTGATATTTTCACCAGCACAGCCGGTTAGATTAAAAATAACCGAGAGTCCAAGAGTTAACCGCCATAATTGTGGCAACAAACACATTTCATACAATAATCTTTGTGTACTAAAAAAACATAAATTTATTAGTTCAAGAAATATCCAATCAACTAAAACATTAGAGCCTCTACAATTTGTCAATTGTGTCATTTGGCACATCACTTCTGACAAATGACAGGTTTTCCACCTTTTCTATGGCTTTTTGATCCAGGACAAAGCTTACAGAAAGTGTCCCTAGATTGTCCCTCTTGTGTTTCCGTCCAAAGAGGTTGAGGCAGAAAGCACACCAGTGAGTGTTTGCTGTGGTCTATAATTATGTGAAATGCCTTCGATGTCGGGTCGGGGGGTTATCAGCCCTCCCCTCCCACAGTGACCCACCTCTGTGCTGCTGTTCAATCAGGTTCGCCTCACAATAACGTCCAGCAGTTACCATAGAAACTGCTCACAGCCAATCATAGGCGACTTGAGTGAGTTGACAGTGAGTTGTTCTCATATTAAAAGGAAAACATGCTGTTTTAACAACTTTTTTTTAGTTTTATTTTCAAATTCCTGAAAACAAAATTATACTTTCACAATGCTTTACAAATTTGCTTAGATTGTTGTTCAACTGACATGTTTTAAAGGTGCCATATTTTGCTTTTCTTAATTTTTCACAGTCCAGATCAGCTTTTGAGTAGGTCCCGTTTCAAGGTAACTGTAGTTCTGGAACATTCTTTGCTGATGTCACCGTCACTTGCAAAAAAAGATCTGCGAGATTCACGGATTTCAGACTCGCGAATTGTTACGGGCCAGGCCCTTACTGTCCAGGAGAGGGAGCTGTCTGGGGTTTGCCTGCCTTCTCTGCTGTCTCCTCCTCTGTGCAGGTCCACACCTGCACCATGCCACGCCCATCACCAATGGGTTTTTTCACCTGGGAGCTGAGAGCTGCTCACTCTCCTCCTCGCCTCCTGTCGTCCTGTTCTCCAGTGCTGCTGCTCGGATGGGTCCTGTCTTGGTGGGCTCTTCTTGAGCCACCATGTCCATTCCTTTGTTGCACATTTGAGTTTGTCTTTTGGTTTATGCACCACATTCACTGCACACCACACACAGGCTTTCATTGCACTCACACACCTGCACCACACACTGATTACAACATGCTCACACCCCATACCTTGGTTTTTGCCCATGTTATACTCTTTTGTTATTATTAAATATACTTTTTGCACTTTTTACCCCCGTTTCGCCTCCCTATTTGTTGTGGCCCTGAGCCGGCCGTAACAAGTTGGGGGCTCCGTCCTAAAAACCTGCGTTTGTTTGAGGTAAATATCATTTTGTGTTATCTGTGATATTTTTTGGTAAACTGGTTTTGTTTGAGAGCGCTTTTTTTTAGTCTTGTGTCAGCTCTTGTTTGTTTGTTGGTTAAGTGCCATTTTGAATTGAGCTGTACCTGGAGTTTGGTGTGACGGGCTCAGTGGGGGTTTTCCCTGTGACGTCATTTTGGTTAGTGCGCTTTGTGGGAGACGTGCGGGAGGTATTTTTTGGTCTTCAGGTTTTTGTACTGTTTGAGAGCAGGTCAAAAACTTCATCCTAGTTTGGTCAGCCGTGGCTGTTTGTAAAGACCCAGAAGGTAAGTGTATAAATTGTAATGTGTGCTACAAGTTGAAGTTGAGGAATCCCTGGTAGGCTTAGCGGTGTTTCCCAACAGTGGGTTCACTGCATTTTTTTGGGGGGGCTTTAGTGTGGAAGTTAAGAGCGGGTCGTAGCTTCCATTTCCCCTTTTCCCTACATCGGCTCGGGAGCGCGCCGTGGTCACTTGATTGCCAACTTGGTCGTCTTGTGTACCATCGGTATCTGTCGCATAAAAACCCATCGCCACGCTTCCCGAAGACTAGGGTTTGAGGTAGTAAGCTTTTGGGTAGGTAGGTAGCGGGGTATCCTTGACTTTATAGGGCACATTGGTAGTTTATCACTTAAGCTTCTGGGGGGTCTTTTTTGTGATCATGGATGAGGTGGTTGAGGAATTTCTGGAGGAACCATGTGAGAGTGATTTGAAGCTCTGCACTAAAAGGCATTTAATTGCGATTGCAGAGTTTTACGAAGTTTTTATTGGGAATTCAACTGTTTTGAGGAGTGTTCTTGAGGACAATTTGAAGGAACAATTATTTGGAATGGGCATTTTGGTTTCACCTGTGGGTTTAACTTTTGAGCAGCAAAAAGAGCTACTGTTAGTCCAAGTAGAGGCAGAGAAAGAACGTGCAATGATGAGGCTGGAGGTTGAAATGGTTAAGCATGACATTGAACAGCAGAAACTTATTTTGGAGAGACAGGAAATGCAAAGTAGTCCTATACGTGAACATGCAGAGGATGAACTTGTTCCGGAGGCTCGCGGACAGCGTTTTTGTTGTGGGAGACAAGTTTGTATTACAGGTAGCCAGGTCGGGGCTGATGTGCCTCCTCCAGTCCAGATGACCGAGGCTCCGGTGGTATGTAGTAAACCTGATGAAACTGAGATGTTTCCTGAGCCAGTTCTTCCCTGTTCTGTGGCACACAACGTCCTGGTGGTGGAGCAGAAGTCCGGGGCTTTGGAGGGATTAGTGCGTGATACTGTACACCTGGTGGTTGGTTCTTTAAAGTGTTGTGATGCTGTGTTACAGTTCTGTCATGACCAGAGCAGCCATTGTGGGGTCAGGATCACTTGTGGCCAGAGCTGGTCTATTTCTT